CGTTTTTTTTTTCTAAGAAAAATATTTTTTAACGTTGTTTTTTTCTAGAAAAACATTTTTTAACGTTTCTTTCCCGAAAAAAAAACTTTTTTCTGAAAAAAACATTTTTTAACGTTTCTTCCCCGAAAAAATTTTTTTTTTCTGAAAAAACATTTTTCAACGTTTTTTTTCTCTAAAAAACATTTTTCAGAATTTTTCTTCCCAACAAAAAAAACACGCTTTTTTCTAAAAAAAAAAATGTTGCAACGTTTTTCTTAATTAAAAAAAAATGTTTTTTTTTTCGTAGAAAAAACTTTGTTTCGACGTTTTTTGTGACTTGGAGGTTGGAGAACGTGGTTGTACTTTTCGATACCTCCTTTTTTTATTTTATGTACTTAAATATTATAAATTACAATCATCGTTAATATTAATATTATTATTAATTTTAAATGCATACACAGTTTTTTTTAAACATCTATTCGACGTAAAGTAAAAAAAAAGAGAATTAAAGGCTGGGAGGACGAGGTTTTTTTTATATATATATTTTTTCTTTTATATATGTAGAAAAAGGGAGAATTGAGAGAAGAGAAATAATCTTTGTGGAGATTGTGATTTAGCGAAATTTCGTTTTTTTTTTTTTTCTTAAAAAAGAATTTGGTTTTCGTGGGAAAATTAAATATAAAACAAAACAAGAAAAAATAAAAAGAAAAAAAAAAGAAAAATTAAAAAAAAGGAAAAAAATTGGAGAAAATCGGCTTTTTCGAAAATAAATTTTTAAAAAATCGTATTTTCGAAATTTAATTGAAAACATCAACTTTTTTCTTATAATAAATTGAAAAAAAACAGCTTTTTCGAAAATAAGTCAAACAAAATCGTTTTTTTCGAAATTGAATCCCGAGAAAATCGTCTTTTTCGATAATAAATTGGAAAAAGTCGGAAAAATCGTTTATTTTCAAAAATGAATCGAAAAATTCGGTCTTTTTCCAAAAATCATTCGAAACAAAGTAGGAAAAATCGTCTATTTTCGAAAATATTCGCCTTTTTTCAAAAATGGTCGAAAAAAATAGTTTTTTCGAAAATAACTAAAAGAAAATTGCCTTTTTCGAAATTAAATCGAAAAAATCGTCTTTTTAGAAAAAAATAACTTCTTTTCACGAATATTATCGAAAAAAATCGTCTATTTTCGAAAATAAATCGAAAATATTCGCCTTTTTTTCTAAATGATTCGACAAAATTTTCTTTTTTGAAAATATTTAAAATAATTTCGATTATTTCGAAATTTAATAGAAAAAATCATCTTTTCTCTAAAAAATATCAAGAAAAGCCGAAAAAATTGTCTATTTTTGAAAATAAATAACAGAAGTCGCTTTTTTCAAAATATTTTCAAAAAAAAATCGCCTTTTTCTAAAATAAATCGAATAAAGATAAAAAAATGTCTTTTTTCGAATTTAAGACGTAAAAAGCTCCTTTTTCGAAAATTAACAGAAAAAAGTCTTAAAAAATCGTCTTTTTTCGAAAATATACCGAAAAAAGTCGAAAAAAATCGTCTTTTTCGATATTAAATTGAAAAAAGTCGGAGAAATCGTCTTTTTTAAAAAAAGGATCGAAAAATTTGCCTTTTCCTGAAAATAATTCGAAAAAAGTGTCATTTTTCGAACTAAGATCGTCAAAATCATCTTTTTCCGAAAATAAATCGAAAAAATTGCTTTTTGTCGAAAATACACAGAAAAAAGTCGAAGAAAATCTTTTTATCCGAAAATAATCGAAAAATTAAACAAAAAAAAGGAAAAAATCGAAAAGAAAAAAGGGCTTGTCCCGTTTATATTAAAAATTAAAAATAAATAATTAAAAAAATAAAAATTCGGTTTTCCGAAAGATTTCTCATTTCAAATTTCAACGAGAGGGTTTGGTTTATTAAAAAGGGTCGATGGCGCGATGGTTTTTTTTTTTGAATTCGTGGTCGAGAGATGCTACAAACTAAACGATTATACGTTACATTAAATATTCCCTTTCACGGCCAAGCCTTGTTTTACAGAAAAGAGAAAAATGATTGCATTTTTTTAGCGTTTGTCGGCGATCGCTTTATTTTTATTTTCTCAAAAAAAAAAGAAAAAAAAAGAAAATTTATTTTCACAAAAAAAAACTACAAGGGAGGAGCTTTCATTTTCTCAAAAAATCTTCCACAAAAATGTTTTCCCATCATTATTTTTTTTTCATTCTCTCACTTGCCTTTTCTCATTTCTCATATCATTTTTTTTCGCTCCTCCGCGAATTATTAATATTTTTATTATTTTATTATTTATGGCGAGAGGCCTATGGCGAAAAAGAAAAGAAGATTATAAAACAAAAAGAAAAAAAAACTATACAAAATAAATAACAATATTATACGATTAAAATTACGCACATTGAATTTCATGAGATCTCTCAAAAAATTCGAATTTTTTTTTTGTTTTTTTTTTCCGGCGAGATAATGAAATTCAATGTTATAAACGCAGTGCGTGTGCAAGTTTTTTGGCATTCAGAGAAAAATGAGGGGTTTTTATGTTTATATACTATTTACTTGAAAATTCCCTCTTCCTCCTCTGACTCCTATTTTTTTTGTATTTTTTTTTCATTTTTTTTTTTCATTTTTGTTTTGACGAAACACCGAATGACGCTATTGCAATTTTTTTTTGCATTTTTATTCATTTCTTTTTTTAATGAATAATTTTTTTTCTCATTTTTATGATGCGTTTGTATTTTTTATGACCAGTGCGCTTGTGTGCGTTCTTTGTTTTTTGTTTTTGAAAAAACAGGCCTTGGATCGAGTTTAAGGGGCAAAAGTTTAAAAAAGGCCCTTTTTCGATTACTAATATTTTCTAGAATTCAATTATTTTTAATAATTATACGAAAGTTCTTGGAGAATTCAATTATTTTCAAAAAATTTTCGGAAAATTCTTCGAAATTTCAATTATTTTAAAAAAATTCTTCGAGAATTCAATTATTTTCAAAAAAGTTTCCGAAAGTTCCTCGAGAATTCAATTATTTATTATAATTGAATATCTTTCCAAAAATTCAATTATTTTCTCGAATTTTTAACTAAAATTCTTACAAAAATCTAAAAATTCAATTATTTTCAAAAAATTTTCGGAAAATTCTGCGAGAATTTTTTTTAATAAAATTCTTGTCAATTATTGAATTATTTAAAAAAAAATAAATAAAAATCAACACTAGAATTCAATTATTTTCTGCAAGAATTGAAGTATTTTTAAAAATATAAGTAAAAATTCAAATATTTTAATATAATTCTTAGCAAAAATTCAATTATTTTCAAAAAATAATAAAATTTTATCAAGAATTAAATTATTTTAATACAATTCTTAACAAAAATTCAATTATTTTCTGCAAGAATTGAATAATTTTTAAAAATATTAAAATTAGAAGCAAAAATTCAATTATTTTAAAATTTTTTTCAAAATTCTTCGCAATAATTCAATTATTTTGAAAAATAATAAAAAATTTTCGGAAGAATTCAATTATTTTTTAATATTTTAATAAATTTTTTGAAACAATTCAATTATTTTTATAAACAGTAAAATTCTTCGCAAAAATTCAATTATTTTTAAATATAATAAAATTCTTGGCAACAAATTCAATTATTTTTTACAAGAATTGAATTATTTTTATAATTAATAAAATTATAAGCAAAAATTATTGAATTAAGAAGTTTTTCTGAAGAATTCAATTATTTTTAAAAACAATAAATTTTTTCGGAAGAATTCAATTCTTTTTTTTAATATTTTAATAAATTCTTCCAAACAATTAAATTATTTTGAAAAATAATTAAATTCTTCGCAAAAATAAGAAAATATTTTCAAATTTTCATTTGAAGATTTTTAAAAAGTTTTTCTAAAAGAATTTTTTAGAGAAAATAGCATTTTTTTCGAAAGTAACCGAATAAAATCGCTGCTTTCGAAATTAAATTGAAAAATCGCCATTTTTAAAATATAAATCGAAAAAAGTCACCTTTTACGAAAATAATTCGAAAAAAAAACTTTTTTTAAAAAAATTAATTCAAAAAATCGCCGTTTAATAGAAAATAAGAAAATAATCGACATTTTTTTAAATACAAATCGAAAAAAGTCGAAAAAAATCTTCTTTTTTACAATAAATTGGAAAAAATCTTCATTTATCAAAAATTAATAAAAAAATCATCTTTTTTCAAAAATAAATCGAAAAAATCTCTCTTTTTGAAAATAACCCAAAAAATCTCCTTTTTTTTGTAAATAAGTCGTAAAAGTCGCTTTTTTAGAATATTTTCATAAAAAATAGTTTAAAAAAAAAAAAATTGAAATTTGTCGCGGTTTTTGAAAATATTCGAAAAAATCCCCTTTTTTCAAAAATAATTCGAAAAAATTGCTTTTTTTCGAAAATAATCGTAAAAAATCCCCTTGTTAAAAAATAAATCTAAAAAGAAACGTCATTTTTGGAGAAAATAAATTTGAAAAGTCGCTTTTTCTAAATATTTTCTGAAAAAATTGCCATTTTCGAAAATAAATCGAAAAAAAGTCGAAAAAATCGTTTTTTTTAGATAAAATCGAAAAAGTAGCTTTTTTCGAATATTTTCAGTAAAAATGGTTAATTTTTTTTTTAGAAAATAAATCGAAATTACTCGCCGTTTTCGATAATATTCGAAAATAATCGCCTTTTAATTTTTAATTTATTAAATTTTTTAAATTTGTTAATAAATCGAAAAATTCCCTTTTTTTTGGGGAAAAAAGTCGGAAAAAGAAAATTTTTCAAAACTCACAAAATCCAAGACCTGTAAAGACGCAAACCTCAAGTTCTCTTTGTTTTTCTCTAATTTCATTTTTTCTCCTCTCGCTTTCTCACAATCGTATACCATTTACACTCCAGTCTGTAAGTATATTTGTTTTTTTTCTTCTTTTATTTTTATTTTATTTTATTTAACTTTACTTTATATAATTTTTTTTTTAAATGTGCGTGCGAGTGATCGTTCGTTCGCAATAGAGCGACTCTTGCTTTCGAGTCAGTAGAAAAACCTAAATCGATCTACGGAGATTCTTTATTTTTTTTTTAATTATTTTATTTTATTTTATTTTTTTTTTTGCGTCAAAAATGAGCCGATATATTTCTTCCTCGTCGTTTTCTTCTTGAAATTTTTTATTTTCTATTTCCTCATGAGAGAGAAAAAGCAGTTTTTTGTATTGTTTTTATTTGTTTAAATCTTGGACTGTGTGTTTTTTCACAAAAAATGGAGAAAAAGGAAGAAAATGAAGAGGAAGAAAAAATGATGATTAAAAAATGGTGATGATTTTGGCTTCTGTTGATTCGGAAGGATTTCCTTCTTTGTTTTTTTTTAAGTGTGCACACTTTCACACTTTTTTTTTTCGATATTTATTTTTCTATTTTCTAAAATTTTTTTTAACTTCATTCTCTCTTTTTATTTATTCTTTTTTTTTGATGTTTTTTTTCAACTCTCAATTTTAATTCCTTTCCTTTTTCTTCTTTTTTTTTGGTATACGCCACTAGTGTTTAATTATAATAATTAATTATTATCATTCATATAATAATATAGAAGCGTTTTTTGATAGACGCTGTTTTAACATTTTTTTTTCGCGGCGATTCAGCAAACGCTACGAATCTTTTTCTTCTTCTTCTTCTTCTTCTGCCGAGTTCACAGCTCTAAAATGGAATTTTTTTCTTTCTTTCTTTCTTTCTTAGCGTTTCAAAGTGAAAACTTTGATTTTTTATTTCTTCGATCAGATTTTGATCTTGATGATGGTTTTTATTTTTGTTTTTATTTTTTTATCTTCTTTTAACTGGGTTTTGACTGCAGGATTTTAGTTTTGGTAAACTCCTTGGAAAATGCGTTTCCAAATTTAGTTCCAGATACGAAGGAACGAGTCCCAGGATCCTGTCGCTACTGCCATTCCATCTTCCGTGACTCCCAGACAGGAAACCCGATTGTCGTGTCCCGCCAAAATTCCTGAAAATAAGCATTTTTAATTTTAGTTTTTGGGAATTTTTTTCTTTCTTTATTTTTGTAACTTTAATCACTTGTATTTCCTTTGAAGGTGTTTTTTTTTATAAAAAAGGAATTATAATATTTTTATCGAAATTATTCTTTTTTTTACAAAAAAAAAGAGAAAAAAAATTAGACTTTTTTCCCCAGAGAATTTTTCTCAAAATTGGTCTTTCTACCAAACAAAAGAATTTTTAACATAAATTAGACTTTTTAACACAAAAAAAAAGAATTTTTAACATAAATTAGACTTTTTAACACAAAAAAAAAGAATTTTTATCAAAATTCGTCTTTTTTTCAAAAAACATACATTTTCGTCAAAAATTGATCTTTATAACAAAAAAAAAAAGAATTTTTATAAAAATTTAGACTTTTAACCAAAAGAAAAAAATTTTTTTTAAAAATTGATCTTTTTGTCCAAAGAAAAATACATTTTCGTCAAAATAATCTTTTCAAAATTGTCAAAATCTTCTTTTTTCCCAAAAATTAGAATTTTCATCAAAAATTAAACTTTTTTACCAACAAAAAAGAATTTTTCTCAAAGTTTGTCTTTTTACCAAACAAACAAAAATTTTAATCAAAAATTGGGTTTTTTTTTTATCCCAAAAAATACATTTTCGTCGTAATTGGTCTTTTTTACCAAAAAAAAATAAGAATTTTTATCAAAAAATACAAATATTTTACCAAAAAAAAGAATTTTTCTCAAAATTGGTCAATCATGTCAAAAAAAAAGAAATATATTTTTACGAAAATTGATTTTTTTTTTTTTGCAAAAAAGAAAAGAATTTTCTAAAAAATTGTCCTTTTCGTCCAAAAAAAAATACATTTTAGTCAAAATTGGTCTTTTTTCCAAAAAAAAGCATTTTAATAAGAATTAGTTTTTCATGTCAAAAAACAAATATTTTTTAAATCAAAATCGGTCTTTTTTATCAGAAAAAAAAAATATTTTTGGAAATTTGTCTTTCTTGGCAGAGAATAAAAGAATTTTTTAATAAAAAAATTTGTAAATAATTAAATTCTTTTATAGAAATTTTTGGAAAATTGAAAAATATTAAAAATTAATCAAATTTTGAAGAATGTTAATTAAAAATAAGAAAAAAAAAAGATTTCTCAAAAAATTTTGATCGTAATACCAAAAGAACTTTCATTTTTAAAAATTCACAAATTAATTTCTTTGGAGGATGATTAAATTTTTCAAAATAATGTAATTGAAAATATTGAAAGAACTGAATATAAAAAAATTATAATAAAAAAATTCTAAGAAAATACTTTTTTAAAAATATTTTCTTACAATTTTGCTTTTGAAGCGTTGAAGCTAATTTTTCGCCAAAAAATAATTCAATTATTTTTAATACAATTGTAATAAAAATTATCAAAAGAACTCAATTATTTACAAAAAATTTTAATAAAATTCTTGACAATAATTGAGTTATTTTTTAAAAATAATAAAAATCATCACAAGAATTCAATTATTTTCTGCAAGAATTGAATTATTTTTAAAAATATAAGTAACAATTTAATTAATTTAATACAATTTTTAGCAAGAATTCAATTATTTTCTACAAAAATTGAATTATTTTTTATATTAAATTTTTATAAGCAAAAATTCAATTATTTGAATACAATTCTTACTAAGAATTCAATTATTTTCTGCAAGAATTGAATTATTTTCATAAATAATAAAATAAAATTGAATGCTAGAATTCAATAATTGAATTTTTTTCCATAAATATTAAAATTTGAAACAAATTAATTATTTAAAAAAAAATTATAATAAAATTCTTAACAAAAATTAAATTATTTTGGTGAACATTCAAAATTTCTCTTAAAAGTTCAATTATATTTAAAAATTTTAATAAAATTCTTCTCAAAACTTAAATTATTTCTCTAAACAATAAAAATTCTTCTCAAGAGGATTTAATTATTTTTCTAAGAATTTTGTTAAAATTATTCCATTCAATTTAATTATTTTAATAAAATTCTTAGGAAAAATTCAAAATTTTGTAAAAAAAAAAATTTATCTCGAAACTTAAATTATTTTTGAAAATAATAAAATTCGTGGAATTAATTTAATAATTTTCTTCAAGAATTTCAATTAATTTTTGAAAATAATAAAAATTCGTAAAAATAATTCAAATATTTTCAATTATTTCACATAAATAATAAAATATTTTTCCACAATTCAATTATTTTCATGAACAATAAAAATTCTTCTCAAGAGGATTCAATTAATTTTTTTCTGAAAATTTTATTAAAAGTATTTTGAATTAATTCAATTCTTTGAAAAATTCTTAGAAAAAATTTTAAAATTTTGTAAAAACAGTAAAATTTTTAGCAAAGAATACAATTATTTTCTCCAAGAATTTTAAATTATTTTTAAAAATAATAAAATTTTTGGCTATAATTCAATTATTTTCTGCAAGAATTGAATTATTTTCATAATTATAAAAATTTGTTGCTAGTATTGAAGAATTAAATTAAATTTAAATAAATTATAATGAAAATAATTCTAGAAATTACTTTTTTAAAAATGCTTTTTTTTACAAAAAAAAAAGAATTATTCTGAATCTTTTCTTGTTCAATAAAATATATTTTCGTCAAAATTGGTCTTTTTTTGCCAAAAAAACAGAATTTTTTTTATCAAAAATTGGACTTTTTTTAACCCAAAAATTATAATGAAAATAATTCTAAAAATTACTTTTTTAAAAAATACTTTTACATAATTTTTTCTAGTTTTCTTTCATAAATTTTTATTTTTAAATTTTGATAATGATTCCTTTTTTAAGGGGATTTGAACCATGATGACGTCACAGATTTAAAACTAATGCTTTGCACAAACTGTGACGTCATCAAGGTTCAAATCCCCTTAAATGTATGTTTTGAAAAATTTTTATAAAAATATATTTCTATTGTAATAATTTAAAATATAATTGTCAAAAATAATAAATAAAAAATAAAAAAAAAATTTGTCAAAATTGTCCTTTTTGTCAGAAAAAATTTGTCTTTAAAAAAAAAAAAAAAAAAAGAGGGAAAAAGAGGGAAAAAGGGAGAAAAAAAGAAGAAAAATGGATAAAAAAGAAAAAGAGAAAAAAGAGAGAAGGACCATGGAGAAATTTATTCTCCTCTCAAAGTGATTAGTGATTAGTGATTATTGATTTAAAAAAGTGGGAAAATAAATTAGTGAATAATAATAATTGTTACCCGCTCGTTCGGTCTTCATTGAATCCCAAACATTGCAATTGAAATCATCGTAGCCGGCCAGAAGCAATCTTCCACTTTTGCTGAAAGCTACGCTCGTTATTCCACAAATGATATTATCGTGACTATACATTGCTAATTCTTGATCAGCTCGAATATCGAATAATCTACAAGTCGCGTCATCTGAACCCGTCGCAAAGGCGTAGCCATTGGGGAAGAACTGAAATTAAAAATATATTTCGCATTTTAGTCGACAATTTTCCATATATATTTATCGTCTCTTTTGCTTTTATTATTTCACGTTTTTATTTTATTACTAAAACTGTCCATTTACTATTTTTATATTTATTACTAAAACTATTTATTTACTATTTTTATTTTTATTACTAAAACTGTTTATTTACTATTTTTTATTTACTACTAACAATATTTATTTACTATTTTTGATTTTTGATTAATAAATAAATAAATAAAAAATTTCAAATTGAAAAAAACGAAATAATTAGAATTTCGAAATAAATTTCAATAATTTTATTTAAACTTTATTATTTTATAATAAAACGTTTTTGAATAGAGGGAAAAAATGTTTAAGTTTATTTTACGTCATATTTAAAACAATTTGAAAATTGAAATTAGATTTTAATAAATAATATTCGTTTTACTTATTAAAACGTATTTTATAATTTATTAATTTTTAATAAACGAAAATGTCTATTTAATAAAATTTAATTTCTAATTACATTTTCATCAATAACAATGTTTTTAGAAAATTAAAAGAATGAATAGAAAAAAAAACCTAAATTTTTATTTATTATTATTTATTATTTTTATTTATTTTTTTATTTAAACCTAAATTCTAATTCGTTTTCAATTTAAAGAAAAATAGTAAATAAAATATTCAATTTTTAATTAGATTTCAATAAACCAATAGTTTCTATTTATTAAAATCGAATTTCTAATTAGTTTAATTAATAAATAAAAAATCTGAGCTCTGATTTCTAATAAGTTCTCAATAAATAAAAACTCTTTATTTGAATCCAATTTCTAATCAGTTTTTAATAGAAAAAAATGTCTTTTTGATTAAATTCAATTTCTAATTAGTTTTTGATAAATAAAAATATAATTTCTAATTAGCTTTTAAAAATAAAAAACGTAATTTCTAATTAGTTGTTTGATAAATAAAAAATATATTTTCTAATTAGTTTTCGATTGAAATAAAAACGTGTCTATTATTATTGGAAACTAATTAATTAATTAATTAATTAATTAATTGATTTCTAGACTTTTATTAGCAATAATAGTTTTGTTTTGAAAAACTGAAAAAGAAAGAAAGAAAGAAAGAAGAAAAATGTCTCACCGTGACAGCGTTAATGTCGCTTTCATGTCCCGGGAAAGTTTGTTTGCAAGAGCCTTCGCGAATGTCCCACAATTTTGCACTCGCGTCACAAGCACCGGAAACGAAGGTGCGCATATCAGGTGCAAGCGAGAGGGACATCACATCACCTGTGTGTCCAATGAACGAAGTACATTGCTGTCCGGTTTCAATGTCCCACAGTGCACTACATAAAAAAAGAAAATATTTTCATTTCCAATTCAATATTACCTCTAAAAATTATTACTTTAAAACTCTTTCAATATTCAATTATTTCCTCGAATTTTCAACTAATTTGTAAATTAAATTTTTGTTTTCTAAATTGAATTTTAATGTTTTTATTGAATTTTTTTTCCTAAATAAAATTTTCCTTTCAACCTCATTTTCAATATTTTAATTCTTTTCTAATTTTAATTATACATAATTGTCAAACGGAATTTTTTTTAAAATTCGAAAAATAAAATTCTTTTCCAAATGGAATTTTTTACAAAAATTCAAAAAAAAAAAATTCAACTCTTTTTCAAATTGAATTCTTTTTTCTCAAAGGAATTTTTTTTTCTCTCGATTAAAAAATTTCAATTCTTTTCAAAATTGAATTTTAATTTTCCAATGGAATTTCTATTTTAAAAAATTCAATTCTTTTCAATATTCAACTCTCATTTTGCAATGAAACTTTTATTTTACTTTCAAAAAAATTCAATTCTTTTCTAAATTCAATTCTAATATTTCAATGGAATTTTTTTTTAATTCAAATAATTCAATTATTTTTAAACAGAATTCTAATATTCCAATGGAATGTTTTTTTTAATTTCAATTATTTCTCTTAATTGAATTTTAATTGAATTTCGTTTTTAAAATTGAATTTGAATTTAATTCGTTCTCAAAATTGAATTTGTTTTCGTATAAATTTTACTCTTTAATAGAATTTTCATTTCAACTTCATTTTCAATTTCTTAATTCAATTCTTTTCCAAATTCAATTCTAATTTGAAAAGGAATTTTTGTTTTAATTTCAATTTAATTTCTATTTTAAAATTGAATTTCAATTTTTTAATTTTGTTTTCAAAATTGAATTTGTTTTAGTTTCAATTTCTAAATTCAATTCTAATTTTCCAATGAAATTTTTATTTAAATTTCAAAAATTTTTTTTCATAATTGAATTTTAATTTATAATTCAATTTCGTTTTTAAAATTTAAATTTTGTTTTAATTTCAAAAAATTCAAATTCTTTTTTAAATAGAATTTTCATTTTCCAATAGAATTTTAATTTTCGAATGGATTTTTTTTTGAAATTCAAACAATAAAATTCTTTTGTAAATTAAATTTTTTATTTTTTATTGTAATTTTTTTCTTTAAATTCAAAAAATTCAATTTTTTAAAAAATTTAATTCTAATTTTCAAATTAAATTTCTTTTTTGAAAATTCTAAAAATTCAATTCCAATTTTCCAATGAACTTTTTGTTTTAATTTCAAAATGTTCAATTCATTTCTTAATTGAATTTTAATTTTTAATTAAATTTCTTTTTCAAAAGTGAATTTCAAATTTTTTAATTTATTTTTTCTCGAAATTGAATTTGTTTTAGTTTGAATTCTACTTTTTAATAGAATTTTCCATTCAAATTTTAGTTTCAATTTTTAAATTCAATTATTTTCTAAATGAAGTTTTAATTTTTTAACTGAATTCTCATTTTTCAATGGAACTTTTGTTTTAATTTCAAAAAATTCAATTCTTTTAAAAATTTAATTTTAATTTTCCAATGAAATTTCTTTTCTAAAAATTCTAAAAATTCAATTCTAATTTCTCAACGGAATTTTTCTTTGAATTTAAAAAAAATTCAATTGGAAAATTAGAATTGAATTTTACTTTTTAATAGAATTTTCTTTTCAACTTTCTTTCTTTCTTTTCAACTTTATTTTCAATTTCTAAATTCAATTCTTTTTAAAATTCAATTTTAATTTTTCATTATTATTTTTTATTTTAATTTCGAAAAAATTCTTTTCTAAATTGATTTTTAATTTTTAATTGAATTTCTTTTTAAAAATTGAATTTGATTTTATTTCGTTCTCGAAATTGAATTTGTTTTAGTTTGAATTTTACTTCTTAATAGAATTTACCTTTAAACTTAATTTTCAATTTTTAAATTCAATTCTAATTTTCCAATGGAATTTTTGATTTTAATTTTAATTATTATTCTTAATTGAATTTGAATTTTTAATTGAATTTCGTTTTTGAAATTGAATTTGAATTTAATTCATTCTCAAAATTTAATTTGTTTTAGTTTGAATTTCACTTTTTAATAGAATTTTCCTTTTAACTTCATTTTTAATTTATAAATTGAATTCTTTTCTAAATTCAAACCTAATTTTCCAATGGAATTTTTGTTTTAATTTAAAAAAATTAAATTCTTTTCTTAAATTAAATTTTAATCTCTAATTGAATTTCTTTTTTTAAAGTTCAATTTCAATTTTTTTGGAATTAGATTTTTTTTTAGTTTAAATTTTACATTTTAACAGAATTTTGCTTTCAAAATTAAGTTTCAATTTCGAAATTAAATTCTTTTCTAAATTGAATTCAAAACTTTGCAATGCAATTTTGTTTTTAAATTTAAAAAAGTAAATTCTTTTTTAAATTGAATTCTTATATTAAATGGAATTTTTATTTTAATTTCAGACAATTCTGTTCTTAATTGAATACTAATTTTTAATTTAATTTCTTTTTGAAAATTGAATTTATTTCGTTCTCGAAATTGAATTTTTTTTAATTTGAATTTTACTTTTTGATAGAATTTTCCTCTCAACTTCATTTTCAATTTCCAAATTCAATTCTTTTCTAAATTCAATTCTAATTTTCCAATAGAATTTTTATTTTCATTTAAAACATTTTTTTTTCTTAATTCAATTTTAATTTTTAATTGAATTTCGTTTTTAAAATTGAATTTCAATTTTTTTCATTTTCGAAATTGAATTTTTTTTAGTTTCAATTTTATTTTTTGATACAATTTTCCTTTCAACTTCAATTCTTTTCTAAATTCAATTCATTATTAAATTCAATTCTTTATTAAATTCAATTTTTTTCTAAATTCAATTCTTTATTAAATTCAATTCTTTTCTAAATTCAATTCTAATTTTCCAATGTAATTTTTATTTTAATTTCAAACATTTTTTTTTTTAATTCAACTTTAATTTTTAATTGAATTTCGTTTTAGAATTGAATTTCAATTTATTTCGTTTTCGAAATTGAATTTTTTTAGTTTGAATTTTATTTTTTGATACAATTTTCCTTTCAACTTCAATTCATTTCTAAATTTAATTCGTTTCTGAATTCAATTCTTTATTAAATTCAATTTTTTTCTAAATTCAATTTTTTATAAATTCAATTCTTTTCTAAATTCAATTCTAATTTTCCAATGTAATTTTTATTTTAATTTCAAACATTTTTTTTTAATTCAACTTTAATTTTTAATTGAATTTCGTTTTAGAATTGAATTTTAATTTATTTCGTTTTCGAAATTGAATTTTTTTAGTTTGAATTTTATTTTTTGATACAATTTTCCTTTCAACTTCAATTCATTTCTAAATTTAATTCGTTTCTGAATTCAATTCTTAATTAAATTCAATTTTTTTCTAAATTCAATTCTTTATTAAATTCAATTCTTTTCTAAATTCAATTCTAATTTTCCAATGTAATTTTTATTTTAATTTCAAACATTTTTTTTCTTAATTCAACTTTAATTTTTAATTGAATTTCGTTTTTAAAATTGAATTTGAATTTATTTCGTTTTCGAAATTGAATTTTTTTAGTTTGAATTTTATTTTTTGATACCATTTTCCTTTCAACTTCAATTCATTTCTGAATTCAATTCCTTTCAACTTCAATTCATTTCTAAATTCAATTCGTATCTGAATTCAATTTTTTTCTAAATTCAATTCTTTATTAAATTCAATTCTTTTCTGAATTCAATTCTTTATTAAATTCAATTCTTTTCTAAATTCAATTCTTTATTAAATTCAATTTTTTTCTAAATTCAATTCTTCATTAAATTTAATTCTTCTCTAAATTCAACTCTTTATTAAATTCAATTCTAATTTTCCAGTGGAATTTCTTTTTTTGATAATTGAAAAAATAAATTTTTTTCTAAATGTAATTTAAATTTTCCAATTGAAATTTATTTTTTTTTTAATTCAAAAAATACAAAAAAAAAAAAGAAAATACTCACCAGGACATGTCGCCTGAACTGGTGACAATTTGGTTGTCATCAAGAAACCGACAACATGACAGGTAGCCAGTGTGTCCCGGTAATTCCCTGCTAACGCGAACATTTCCCTCTCTTGTCTTTAAACTGTAAATTGAACAAATATTGTCCAATCCACCGCAAGCGACGTAACTTCCAGACGGCGCGTAAGCACAAGTCATAACCCACGATGAACGCAGTGGGATCGCATGAACTTTATTGGTGGTGTAACTATCCCAAACAATCAGCTTTCCATCTTGTGAAGCGCTCACCAAATTTCTACAAAAAACGAAAAACAAAAAAAAAAACACCCACACAAATTCAAAATTAGTCCACTTTCCTTTCACTCTTTGTTTTTTTTTCTACAAAAACAAAAATTTACAAAAAAAAAAATCTTCTAAAACTAAAAAAAAAATATATACATTTTCTAAGTACTATAAACTAAAATCATTCTTTTTTTGGTTTTTTTTTGTATTTTTTTTGGTGCCTTAATTTATGACTAATTTATGGAGTCGTTTAATTACCTCGAGTCACTACCCCATTGAAAAGCATAAAATTAAAAGTTTGTAAATTTAAAAAAATTGCAAATTATTCATAAAAATTAATGTTGGAAATTAAAAATAGAAAAAAAATAAGTTAACATAAATATTTGTTTGATAATTATTATTTATTCGGAATAATGAGATTTAAATTTTTTAATCACCTTGAATCACTGCCCCAGTGCATGGCGTAAATTTTTGCCAAATGACCGCGGAGTGTTCTTCTCGTGCGCATTTGTATTCGACCAATTGGTTCCATGCCCGATGTGGCCTGAACCAATGTTGTGTCGCATGCTGCCTTTCTCGCATCCTAAAACAAAAAAAATCATTTTTTTAAAAATAAAAATAGTATTTTTCAAAAATAAAAATGGTATTTTTTAAAAATAAAAATTGCATTTTTCAAAAATAAAAATAATTCACTTCTTAATTAATTAATTAATTACTAATTATTATTTATCAGTAATTATCAATTATCAACAATGATTATTTATCAAAATAAAAATTCTTTACAAATTCTTTGAATAAATAAACAAAAAAAAAAATAAAATAAATTATCACAAATAATCAAATTTCTTACAAGGAATTCAAATATTTTTTAAAATTTTCTTAAAATTATTCGAATTCAATTATTTTCTAAAAATTTTGATAAAATTGATCAATTAAAATTCAATTATTTTCATAAATAATAAAATGTTTTCGAAAGACCTGAATTATTATTATTAAAGATTTTAATAAAATTCTTCTCAAAAAATCAATTATCTTCATAAACAATCAAAATTCTTCTCAAGAGGATTCAATTATTTTTTTTAAGAGTTTTTGTAAAATTATTTGAATCAAATCAATTATTTTTAAAGATAATAAAATTTATTGTAACGATTCAATTATTTTAATAAAATTCTTGAAAAAAAGGAAAAATTTGTAAAAATAATAAAATATTTAGCAGAGAATTCAATTATTTTTATAAATAATTAAATAATAAATTTTTTCGAACGATTTCAATTATATTCATAAATAAAAAAATTCTTCTCAGTAATTCAATTATTTTCAAAACAATAATATCGATTAAATTTCTCAAAAAGAAATCAATTTTAATTTAATTTCTTGTAAAAATTAATTTTTTTTGAAAAATTTTATTATACAATTCTCCTTAAAATTTCAATAAAATTCTCCAAAGCAATTCGATTATTTTCATAAAATTGAAAAAAAAATTAAATTATTTTCAAAAAAAAATTTGTTTAATTTCTTTACAAGAATTCAATTGTTTTAATTAAATTTTTATAAAATTCTTCAAAACAATTCAATTATTTTCTAAAATTTAAAAAAAAATTCTTCAAAACAATTTAATTATTTTCACAAAAATTGAATAAAATTAAATTATTGTCAGAAAAAATTTTTAAAAATTCATTACTCTTGTAAAGGATTTAATTATTTTTCAAATAATAAAATACTTTTGGAAGAAATTCCATTATTTTCAAAATAATAAAATTCTTTAGAAACAATTCAATGATTTTCTAAAATTTTAATAAAATTCTTCAAAACAATTCAATTATTTTCATAAAAATTGAATAAAACTAAATTATTATCAGAACAAAATTTTTAAAAATTCATTACTCTTGTAAAGGATTTAATTATTTTTCAAATAATAAAATAATTTTGGAAGAAATTCAATTATTTTCAAAATAATAAAATTCTTTAGAAAAAATTCAATTATTTTCTAAAAATTAGGTAAAATTTATCAAAACAATTCAATTATATTTTTTCATAAATAATAAAATGTTTTAATAGACTTCAATTATTATTTAAAATTTTAATAACATTCTTCTCAAAAGTTCAATTATTTTCATAAACAATCAAAATTCTACTCAAGAGGATTCAAATTATTTTTCAAAAATGTTGAAAAAATTATTCGAATCAATTCAACTATTTTTTTTTAAATAATAAAATTTTTCGCCTAGAATTAAATTTTTGTTTCCAAGAATTAAATTATTTTCATAAATAATAAAATTCTTTATAATAATTCAATTATTTTCTTAAACAATAATAATTCTTCTCAAGAGAATTCAATTATTTTTCAAAATTCAGTTAAAATTATTCAAATCAATTCAATTATTTTTAAAAAGAATAAAGTTTGTTGTAAAAATTCAACTATTTTAATACAATTTTTGGAAAAAGATTCAAAAATTTGTAAAAATAATTGAATTTTTAGCAAAAAAAAAACTTTTACCGAAACTAAATTTGAAAATAATTGAATTCTTATAAAAAATTTAACAAAATTTTAAGAAAATAATTGAATTATTATAAAAAATTTTAACAAAATTCTAGAAAATAAATGAATTCTTATAAAAAAATTTAACAAAATTCTAGAAAATAATTGAAATCTTAAAAAGAATTTAATTTAAGAATTTTAAAATATAGATAATTGAATTTTATAGAGAAATTTTCTTAAAAATTAATTTGAAAATAATTCAATTGTTTCGAAAAATTTTCTGAAAATTTGCAAAAAATAATTAAATTCTTATAAAGAACTCAAAAAAAAAAATTTATAGAAAATAATTGTATTCTTATAAAGAATTTAACAAAATTTCAAAAAATAATTGAATTTTTATAAAGAATTTCAAAAAATTTCAAAAAATAATTGAATTCTTATAAAGAATTTAACAAAATTTTAGAAAACAATTAAATTCTAACGAAAAGAAAATTTTACTATTAAAATTTTCAAATATTGAATTTTTTCCACAATTTTCATTAAATTTAAATTGAACATAATTGAATTCTTCTGAAGTATTTTTTTTAAATTTGCAGAAATTAATAATTGAATTCTTATAAAGAATTTTATTCATTTTAAAAATAATTGAATTGATTCGAATAATTTTAACAAAATTTCCAAAAAATTATTCAATCCTCTTGAGAAGAATTTTTATTGTTTATGAAAATATAATTGAATTTTTCAGAAGATAAATTGAAAATAGAACTGAATTTTTCAGAAGATAAATTATTGAAAATAATTCAAATTCTATAGTGACATATTTTATTATTTACAAAAATAGTGTTTTTATTAATTTGAATTTTTATGGAAATTTTTACGAAAATAATTGAATTGTTTTGAAGAATTTTATTATTCATATTGAATATGATTGAAATATTTTGAGAAATTGAGATAAAATAACATTTGAAAGTAATAATTAAATTCTAATAAACAAATTTCTTTTCCTCTTATTCTTTTTGTTTCTTTTTCTTTTTTTCGTTTTGTGTTTCTTTTGTTTTTCTTTTCATTTCTTTTCCTCTTTTTTTTGTTTCTTTTTTCGTTTTGTGTTTCTTTTTCTCTTTTTCATTACAATTCCTTTCCTATTTTTCTCTTATTTTTTTTGTTTCTTTTCATTTTTTTCTCTTTTTGTTTCCATTTCTTTTCCTCTTTTTCTTTTTGATTCTTTTTCGCTTTTTCGTTTTAAGTTTTTTTTTTATTTTTTATTTCTTTTCCTCTTTTTTTGTTGCTTTTTCTTTTTTTCGTTTTGTGTTTCTTTTGTTCTTCTTTTCATTTCTTTTCCTCTTTTTCTTTGTTTCTTTTTACTTTTTCGTTTTGTGTTTCTTTTTCTCTTTTTCCTTACAATTCCTTTTCTATTTTTGTCTTATTTTTTTTTGTTTCTTTCCATTTTTTTCTCTTTTTGTTTCCATTTCTTTTCCTCTTTTTCTTTTTGATTCTTTTTCGCTTTTTCGTTTTAAGTTTATTTTTAATTTTTTATTTCTTTTACTCTTTTTTTGTTTCTTTTTCTTTTTTTCGTTTTGTGTTTCTTTTGTTTTTCTTTTCATTTCTTTTCCTCTTTTTTTTGTTTCTTTTTTTCTTTTTCGTTTTGTGTTTCTTTTTCTCTTTTTCTTTCCAATTCTTTTTCTATTTTTCTCTTAATCTTTTTGTTTCTTTTCCTTTTTTATTTTTTTTTCATTTCTTTTCCTCTTTTTCGTTTTGATTCTATTTCACTTTATCGTTTTGTGTTTCTTTTTTATTTTTGTTTCTTTTCCTTTTTTATTTTTTTTTCATTTCTTTTCCTCTTTTTCGTTTTGATTCTATTTCACTTTATCGTTTTGTGTTTCTTTTTTATTTTTGTTTCTTTTCCTTTTTTATTTTTTCTCTTTTTTTCCATTTCTTTTTCGCTTTTTCGTTTTGTTTCTTTTCCCCTTTTTCGTTTTGTGTTTCTTTTTGTTTCATTTCCTCTTTTTCTCTTATTCTTCTTGTTTCTTTTCCTTTGTTATTTTCTTTCTCTTTTTTCCATTTCTTTTCCTCCTTTTCGTTTTGATTCTTTTTCAATTTTTCGGTTTGTGTTTCTTTTTGTTTTTTTTTTTTGTTTTTTTTTTGTTTCTTTTCTTTTTTTTCTCTTATTCTTTTCCTTTTTTCCTTTTGTTTCCTTTCTTCTTTTTATTTTTGTTTCTTTTCCTCTTTTTCGTTTTGTGTCTTTTTTTTCTTTTTTTCTTTTTTTTCTTTTTTTTCTTCTCCTTTTTTTCTTTCCATTTCTTTTCTCCTCCATTTTTCTAATCTTTTTCACTAAATGAACAACTTGATTTGTATTATTTTAGAAAACGTTTTTTTTTTGTGATATTATTTTTATACACAAAGGCAGTGCATCGGCACGAGTAAAGTAAGTGGAGGGTGTTAAAAGGGGAGCAAACGAGGAAGCAAGAGAGAGAGAGAGAATGGTGTATTGATCAGAGAAGCGACGGTTATGCCGCGCCCTACTACCACCACCACCACCACTACCACCATCATCATCAAAAGAATAGGAGAGACTAAGTTTTTTTTTTTTTTTTTTTTTTTTTTTTTCTTCTTTTTTTTACAACCATGATGAATCATTCGACACTCACACATGGTTGAAAAGATCGACCTGTTAATAGTAGAAAATACACGTCAGGTGGACAACACCGCACAGACTGTTTCAAGGAATTCCCGAGTAACCTAATTTTTAGCATTGACACTTCTCATCTCGAGACTAATCGAGAAACTTTTTCAATTTCATCGAGACGAGGTTTTACTCTTTCTCTCTCTCTCTCACTCTCTCTCTCTCTCTCTCTGTCTCTCCATGAATCAGAGGAGAATTTTCTATATATACAAGAGAGACGTACATTTGTTCGAAATTTCTAAAGAAGAAACATTTTTTTTAGAATATTAATTTCTTTTCTGATTGTGGAATTTTTTTTTCGTCACATTGGTTGAGAAAAAGTAGAAAAGTTTATTTTTTTTAAATTAATTCATCTTTGGAATTTATTGCGTTCAATTTATTTTAAATAAATAATGAAATTCAATTCAGAAGTTCAATTATTTTCGAATTTAATTTTAATACAATTTCTCGATACAATTCAATTATTTTTTATTTTAGCAAAAATTTTCTTTTTGAAAATATTTTAATTACTTATTCTACAAATTTAAAGAAAATTCTTTAAGAGAATTCAATTATTTTCAATTTAATGTTAAGAAAATTCAATTATTTTCCTGAAAAATAAAAATTATTCCCAAGAATTCAATTATTTTCATAAAATTTAAAAAAAAAAACTCTTCGCAAAATTTCAATTATTTTCCAAAATTCTAATGAAATTCAATTATTTTCATAAAATTTTAAAATACTCTTCGACTCATTTCAATAATTGAATTGATGTGAATAATTTTTAAAAAATTTTGAAAATAATTGAATTTATTTAAAAAAATTTTTGAAAATAATTTAATTTATTTTAAAAAAATTTTTGAAAATAATTGAATTTATTTGTAAAATTTTTTGAAAATAATTAAATTAGTTGAAGAATTTTATTCTTTACAAAAAATAATTGAATTTTTGCCAAGAGCTTTTTAAAAATTTTATGAAAATAATTGATTTGTATTAAATTTTATAAAAATAACTCAATTTTCAAAAGTTTAATTATTTTCAATTTTATTTTAATACAATTCAATTATATTTAAAAATTTTAGAAAATTGTTCTTTTTGCAATTATTCAATTACTTATTCTACAAATTTAAAGAAAATTCTCCTAAAGAATTCAATTATTTTCGATTTAATTTTAATAAAATTCAATTATTTTCCTGAATAATAAAATTTATTGCCAAGAATTCAATTATTTTCATAAAATTAAAAATAAAAACTCTTGGCAAAATTTCAATTACTTTCTTAAATAATAAAAATTCTTCTAAAAAATTCAATTATTTTCAAAAATTTCAATGAAATTCAATTCGATTTATAAATAATAAAAATTATTCCCTAGAATTCAATTATTTTTATAAAATCGTAAAATACTTTTCGACTCATTTTAATTATTTCCTTAAGGGCATTTGAACCTTGATGACGTTACAGATTGTGCAAAGCATGTGTGACGTCATCAAGGTTCAAATGGCCTTAAACAATAAAAATTCTTCGGAGAAATTTAATTATTTTCAATTCAGTTTAAATAAAAAATTCAATTATTTAAAAAAAAAAAATTAGTACAATTCAATTATTTTCATAAAATCGAAAAAAAAATTCTTCCCATAAATTCAATTATTTTTAAAAATAAAAAAATTCCTTGAAAGGAATTCAATTATTTTTCGAAATTTTGTTAAAATTATTCCAATTAATTCAATTATTTTCATAAATAAAAAAATTTCTTACAAAAAATTCAATTATTTTAATAAAATTCTTTAACAAAATTTCAAAAATTTGAAAAAATATTAAAACTTTTAGCAAGAATTCAATTATTTTCTCCAACGAATTTCATTATTTTCATAAATAATAAAATTTGTCGCAAGAATTCAATTATTTTGAAAAATAATGAAATTCGTTGAAATACTTGAATTATTTTTTGGCAAGAGTTAAATTATTTTTCAAAATTTGTTAAAAATATTCGTTCCAATTCAATTATTTTCTAAAATTTTGATAAAATCCTTCATAACAATTTAATTATTATCCGCAAATTTTAAGAAAATTCTTTAAAAGAATTTTTAAGGGGATTTGAACCTTGATGACGTCACAGTTTGTGCAAAGCATTAGTTTTAAATCTGTGACGTCATCATGGTTCAAATGCCCTTAATTATTTTCAATTTAATTTTAATAAAATTTTTCGATAAAATTCAATTATATTGGAAAATTTTAGAAATTTTTTTTTAATTCTTTATAAAAATGCAATAATTTTTTTTTTTTTTTGAAATTTTGTTAAATTCTTTGTGAAAATTTAATTATTTTCTTAAAATTTTGTTAAATTTTTCAAAAGAATTCAATTACTTTCAATTTTAATTTGAATAAAATTTCTCGATAAAATTCAATTTTTTGAAAATTTTAGTAAAATTTTCTCTTTCTGAAAAATTCAAATTACTTTTTCTACAAATTTTTTAAAATTTTTTATAAGAATTAAATTATTTTTAGTAAAATTTTCTTTCTGAAAAAATCAAATTACTTTTTCTACAAAAATTTTGTTAATTTCTTTATAAGAATTAAATTATTTTCTGCAAATTTTTAAGAAAATTCTTCGAATGATAATAAAAATAATTTTTAAGAGAATTAAATTATTATCAGAATCGACAAATTTTATTATTTATGAAAGTAATTAAATTGTTTGTAGAAAATAATTCAATTCTCGCAACAAATTTTATTTTATTTTTTTTGAAAATAATTTGAATTGATTCGAATAATTTTTAAAAAATTTGCAGAAAATAATTGAATTTTTTCGAAGTAGTTTATTATTTGATAAAAATAATTGAATTTTTGCGAAAAGTTTTTTTTTTTAATTTTATGAAAATAATTGAATTATATTCAATTTTATGTAAATAATTCAATTTTTTCGAGAAATTTTTTTTTTTAAATCTGTTTTGAAAATAATATTGAATTCCTCCGAAGAAATTTTATTATTTAGAGAAATAATTGAAATATGTCGAAGAGATTTTTTTAAATTTGATGAAAATAATTGAATTTTATTAAATTTTTTCAAAATAATTGAATTTTTGCGAGAAATTGTTATTTAATCTCTATTGAAAATAATTGAATTCCTCTTAAACAAATTTTTATTATTTAGAAATATAATTGAATTCTTGTGAATTATTTTTTATAATACTTAGGAAAATAATTGAATTGTATTAAATTTTTTTAAATAATTGAATTTTTTTTTAAATTTGGATTTAAACGTGATTGAAAAAAATTGAATTCCTCCGAAGAATTTTTGATTATTTAGGAATATAATTGAAATAATTCGAAGAATTTTTATTATTTATCAATATAATTGAAATAATTCGAAGAATTTTTATTATTTATCAATAAAATTTTCTAAATAAATAAATAAATAATTGAAATGATACGAAGAATTTTTATTATTTTTATGAAAATAATTGAAATTATTCCAAGAAATTTATCAAAATTTTTGAAAAAATAAATAATTATTAATTAATTAATTAGTTAATAACTGAAATTTTTTTTTCTTTTTTCTCTTTTTTTCACTTAAATAAATAAAACGTTAAAATTAAAATATTTATAAAAATTTGCAATGTATAAAAGAAATAAAAGAAAAAAAAAAGTATAATAAAAAAAAAAAATTTGCAAGAAAAAAAAGTGGAATTTTTCGAAGAATAATAAACAGGAAGTATACTAACCCTAATGGCATTTTTTAGCGTTTCCGCCTCCTGGCGAAGACTGTCTAATTCGTTCATGGCGCACGTGTCACAAAATGCTTACTGGATTCGGTTCTAAAAATTTGCTACTTATACGAAATATTTATTCCTTTTTTTTTTTTTTTTTTTGTCTCGCTCAATTGAAGAAGAGTTGACTGTGCAGGGGGAAGGGGATCGGATTTTATCTCAGGATTCCCTGATGCTGTTGTATTGTTACGACAATGCCAATCCAATTCTCCAATGTTTCACCACTTTCTCCTGGTTTTTTTTCCTCCCCCAGGACTCTTGTTCCTTTCTCTGTTCCAAAACCTGACCTCTGTCCCTCCTGATCCGCCCAACACCACCGCCAGTTTCGATAATATCCCCCAACGAAACCGTTGCCAGTCCTGCAAAATTCAGGGAAAAACCACACAATTAATATTATACTTATATATAAAACTAAAAATTAAAATTTTAAATTTAAATAAATAAACATATTTATTTCTATTTATTAATAATTAATTAATTGAAATCAATTTTTCTTTCTCTTCAAATTCTATCAGTAAAATAGTATCGATAATTATTAATCTAAAAACAATACCTAAATAATTAATTAATAATTAAATCAAAAATTATTAGGAAAAATAATTAATTAATTAATTAATTATATACAACATTATTAGGAAAAATAATTAATTAATTAATTAATTATATAAAATTGTATAAAATAATTAAATTATTAAAAATAGAGAATTAATAATTAATTAACTATACATTATATTAAATTGCATAAATTATAAACAAAGTTAATAATTATCTACCAAATTATTTAAAACTGTAGAAAATGAATAAATTATTAATAAAACAAAATTTTATTATTAATTAACTTACTGTAAAATTTTACAAAATTAATAATTAGTTAAAATTATTTCAAACTGTAAACAAAATGAATAAATTATTAATAGAATAAAATTTCATAATTAGTTGACTTACTGTGAAATTTTACAAAATCAATAATCAATTAATTATATAAAATTGTACAAAAATTATATACACAAAATTAATAATTAGTTACCAATTTATTTAAAACTGTAGAAAATTAAAAAATTATTATTAATAAATTCGGTATTAATAAAACAAAATTTTATAATTAATTAATTTACTGTACAATTTTACAAAATTAATAATTAATAATTTTCATTGAACTTGTAGAAAATTAATAAATTATTAATAGTACAATTATAGTTTTACAAAATTAATAATTAATAATTTTCATTGAACTTGAAAATTGATAAATTATTAATAATATAAAGTTAATAATTAATTAATTAATCAATTAATTAATTAATTAATTAATTATACAGAATTATATGAAAATGAATAAAATTAATAAATTATTATAATAAAAAAATAGTAATAAATTAATTTTCTACAATTTATACAAATTCGAAAATCAGTGCCGTAACTAGAGAAATTTTTTTCCTTCTACAATGAATTTTTTTTTATAATTAATCAATAATAATAGAAAAAGAAGTATATCAAATTAATAATTTATTAATTATATAAAATTGTATTAACAAAATTAAATAATTATTAGCAATACCGAAATTAATAATGTAATTAATTTTCCAAAATTATGCAAATGCAAAAATCAGTGCCGTAATAAGAGAAAATTGTTTCCTTATACAATTAATTTTTTTATAATTATTAATTAATCAATAATAGAAGAAAAAGAAGAAGTAAACAAATTAATAATTGATTAATTATATAAAATTAATTAACTATTAACAATACGAAATTTAATATAGATAATTATCTAAAATTATGCAAATAGCGAAAATCAGTGCCGTAACAAGAGATGATTTTTTATTTTTATAATATTATTTTTTTAAGAATTAAATAATAAAATAAAAGTATAAATTAAATATTAATTAATGATAGAGAATTATACAGAATTAGTAATTTAATAATGATACAAAATTAATAACTAATTAATTATAAAAAATTATACAAATTTTAGAATTATATAGTTATTTAAATTTATAGAAAATTAGTAAATTGGGAATAAAACAAAATAATTAATTTACTAATTATTGTAAAATTATACAAAAATTAATTAATTATTAATAAATAAAAATTTATTATTAATAAATTATACAAAATTACCCAAATGAAAAAATCAGTGCCGTAACAAGAGATAATTTTCTACTTTTTTAAATTCATTTTTTTTTAACACTTAAATAAAAAAATAATAAAAATAATAATAATAATAATAATAATAATAATAATAATAATAATAATAATAATAATAAAGTAGAAATTAATTATTCACAATACAAAATTGAATAAAATTAATTTTCAACAAATATGGAAATGCGAAAATCAGTGCCGTAACAAGAATTTATTTTTTTATATTTATAATATAATTAATTTTTTTTAAAGAATTAATTATGTAAAATTATACTAATTTGATAATTAATTAATTAGTGTAAGAATGTGCAGAAATAATAAATAATTGATAATAGAAAACAATAAAAAATTAATAATTATTAATTTATGCGAAATTAGATAAATGTGCAATCCAGTGCCGTAACAAGAAATAATTTTCAATTTTTATTATTTTATTCATTTTTTACTAATTAGTTAATAATAAAAAAAAGTACATAAACACTTTGGTTTTTATTCTAAAATTTCTTCTGTCAAACGATAAGCTTTCTAATTTCAAAATTTAAACAGTTTCCTTCGAGTTTTGAAACATTTAATAAAATTAATAATTTTTAATTTTATTTTTCATTGAATTTATTTGTATATTTTTCAAAATTTCTAAATATAAATATTATAAATATTTCTATCAAAATTCTGAAATTTTACTAAATTCTTAGAAATTCTTTAAAAATTCCCTAAATTTTGATATAATTATAGGAATTTTTTTGAAAATTCTCTAATTTCTCTAAATTTGTAGAATTTTTATCAAAATTTTTTGAAATTTTTAGATTTTCTTCAAAAAATTCTAAAATTTTGATAAATTCATGAAATTTCTTTTAAGATTATGAAAATTATGAAATTTTACTAAATTCTTAGAAATTTTTTAAAAATTCTAAACTTTTGATAAAATTTGAGGAATTTTTCTAAATTTATAAAATTTTTATCAAAATTCTAAAATTTTTAGATATTCCTAAAAAAAATTCTGAAATTTTGAGAAATTCATATAAATTCTTTTAAAATTTTGAAATTTTACTAAATTCTTTTAGAAATTCTTTAATAATGCCTTAAATTTTTATAAAATTATAGAAATTTTTTGAAAATTCTGTAATTTCTCTAAATTTATAGAATTTTTATCAAAATTTTTAAATTTTTTTCAAAAAATTCTAAAATTTTTATAAATTCATGAAATTTCTTTTAAGATTATGAAATTTTACTAAATTTTTAGAAATTTTTAAAAAATTCCAAAGTTTTGATAAAATTTTAGGAATTTTTCTAAATTTATAAAATTTTTAAATATTTCTAAAAAAAATTCTGAAATTTTGAGAAATTCATAATAAATTCTTTTAAAATTTAGAAATTTTACTAAATTCTTTTAGAAATTCTTTAATTATGCCTTAAATTTTGATAAAATTATAGAAATTTTGATAAAATTATAGAAATTTTTTGAAAATTATTGAAATTTTTCTAAATTTATAGAATTTTTCGATTCTTTTAAAAATTACAAAATTTTGATAAAATTATATTAACTCTTGTGAAAATTCTGAAATTTTTCTAAATTTATAGAATTTTTATCAAAATTCCGAAATTTTTTTAGATATTTCGAAAAAAATCGTGAAATTTTGATAAATTCATATAAATTTTAAAAACTACGGCAAATAAAATATTTTAAAAATTGCTTTTTTGTTAGAAATTCCAAGTCCTTGGTGTTCAAAAAAAAAGGATAAATTTCTCAAAGAAAAAAAAAACCATACAGAATCGTTTTTGTAATAAAAATCATTTTCACTTGCTACGCCCCTGATTTCCGCATTCAACTTCAATCAATGAATGAAAAACCAAATTTTTTTTTTTTTGGAAAAAGAAATTTCTTTTCAATTCGTTATAATTCCGCGTGCCAATTATTTCTCACTTGAGAAATCGTAATAAAATTACGAGTACAAAATAAAAAAAAAAAACTTGCCTCCCCTCTCAATAAATATCTAAAAAAAAATCCAAAATAATTGTTACGAAATTTTTCTTCTAAACGAGATGAAATTTACATCAGGGCATGAATTATGAAAGGAGAAAAGTAGGGAAAAAAAAATTGTGAATGATGATCGTGCGTCCTTCACCTCGAAGGAATATCTGAAAACCCGGGAAATCAGGGATTGTCGATTCTACAGGGTTTCTCCATTCAGTTACTCGATATCGCACTGTAGCATAAAAAGCTTCTCTGCGCATGCACAATTTTGAATGCGTAAGAATGCACCGCATCTCTCCTTCTCTCTTTCTCATTTTCTATTAAAAAAAAAAAGAAAAAATAATAATAATTAACCATGGAATAAAAAAATATTTCCCGATTTTACTTTTTAAATTCCCTACCTTACCGACAATCGGTCGAAAAGATTTAAAGGGACCAGAACTTACTCTTCCGTTCCCCCTGATTTTTATTTTCTACTCCTGTCAGAGCATTGTTGACAATATTCCTTAACAATCGCACCGAAATTGAAAGAATCACTATCACTGGTAATTGAAAAAAAAACTGCCGAGGAGGAAAAAGAAGCAAAAGTGACAACTATAAACGATAAATTTTCAGCATTGTTCCAAAAGGAACTTTTTGACAATTATAAAACCTTTACACTCTTGTCAAACAGTTTTCTCACGTTCCCGTCGTTTCTATCACGAAACTTTTTTCACCGAATTGACGAATTCACTAATGGTTAAAATAACTGCGGTGTTCTTTTTGTGTTCCACCTGGTCCAGGATCTCTTTGCAAGGAGACGCATGGAAAGGTGCGAAGGGGACGACGAGTCAAGAGGAACATACACACACGATTGCCGATCCTCTCCACGAGAGAGGAAGAGGAATTCAATGACGATGATGAGGAGGTGAAAATACTCTCTTTGAGGTTGTAGACCACACCCAGAGCACCGAACGAGTGAGGAGAAAAAATGGTAAGTTGGCGCTGCTGTTAGGGGGTGGTGGTAGTAGTAGTAGTAGTTGTGTGTGTGTGACAGAGGAGAGGGATGATAGAACCGACAACCGACCCCAGCGCCATGACGCTCAAACGCCGGTAACCGCCATTGTTTTCCGTATTCGAGATCAGAGTATCAGACACGTTCCAAACCAAAAGGTTTATTTCTCACGTTCGAGATTCGAGTGCATAATAATTATTAAGAGCTGAATTTTAATCTCTTTGTCAATAAAAAGAAAATAATATTATCTA